TATGACTGTTAATGTTGATCTTGGCCACTTGGCTGATGGTAATACTTGTCTAAACAGTGAAGTTACTTGCCTCCCCCCATCCATCCATCCATCCATCCATCCATCCATCCATCCATCCATCCATCCATCCATCCGCTTTTTGAGACAGGGTTTCTCTTTGTAACAGCCCTGGCTGTCATGGAACTCACTGTGTAGACCAGGCTGTCCTCAAACACAGATATTTGCCTCCTCTGTTTCCTGAGTGCTAGGATTAAAAGTGTGTGACCCCATGCCTTGCTCAATTATTTATCAATATGGATTTTTGGATACTTGTTTTATTCTTAGGGATATAATCCAAGTACTTTTGCTCAGATTGTCCATTTAAAAAAGCAAATCGTATTTAATACACCTTAGAAATAGAATTGAGTCAGAGTTTGTAATTACTATATAATCTTGGCTATTTATTTATTTTTTTGGACACATTTCTAAGCTACTGTAGCATGGCCCACAAAACCAGTAATGGAAGGAATTTTACTGTTGGCCTAACCTTATCCAACTTGTTAGTGTAAAAGCCTTAACTGTGGCTTGCCTTAACTTTACAGTTTGTGTAAGTGAGGGTGTGGGGTATCCTCAAACTTTGTGTAGTCAAGGGTGACCTTGAGCTTCTGATCTCCTGCCTCCATCTCCCAAGTGCTGACAGTTTAGGTGTGGACCACCATGCCTAGTTTATGTACTGCTGCAAATCATGCCAGAGTTTCCTCATGCTAGGAGAGCACTTTGATAGCTGAGCTATATTCCCCAGCCCATTACTTTCCATTAAAAAAAAAAAAAAAAGAGTAAACTTGCAATGTTGAAATAGTTTTAGACTTACAGGAAACTTAAGATAATGCAGAGAATTCCCTCAGACGTTTTAACTTGTTTGTGTAATGTTAACTCTTTATGTTATTCTGGTACAGCTGTCACAACTAAAAATCCCATTGTTGTTCTATTATCTAAACTTGAGACTTTATTTGAACTTTATCAGCTTTCCTGTAAGCTCCTTTGAATTTTACTTTTCTCAGTTGTAAAGCGAGACTTTAAGATTTCTGGAGATAAGGCTCAGCAGTTAAGAGTGTTTGTTCTCCAGAGGACCGACCCAAGTTTAAGTCCCAGAACCCACACCGGGTAACTTAAAACTAACTCCAGCTCCTAGGGATCTGATATCTCTGGCCTTGGAGGGCACTGGCATCCATGGACACACACCCACACAGAGACACATAATTAAAAATAGTAAAATAAATGATGTTCAAAAAACACTAACCTTACTAGGGTTAAATGATAGAGTGGCATGTGCAATTCCTGAAAAAAGATATTACTGTTGTTACTTAAAAGAACAGAAACATTGGGAGAAGCCTTTCCCGTGAGCCAGAGGGATCTCTGATATTGCTTCATCCTTTTGATGGGATGGTGTTGACAGGTTGTGCTGTCTGATGCACAGCCTGCCAGCCTCCATATGTTCCTCTACCAAAAGTGTGCCAGCTACAGCCAAGGGGATTTTGCAGAATTAAATACCCTTTGTTGAAGCTTTTTTATTTGTCTAGTGATATTTAATTCTCTAATTGTTTGCTTGTGGGATTTTTGTTTGTTTGTTTTAGATATGTTTAAAGAGTAGAATTTAAAAGATAGGGGTCACGCATTTAAAGTAATGCTTGCTATAAAGTGAGGACCACACAGCATTTGCTTAATATGACTGCATGTTACTATGAGCATCTGGCACAAAATTAAGTTATGGGAGGATCATAGAGGCCTTTGTAGGTGAGTGTCATGGTGGTTTGTGCAGAGAATTTCATGGACCAGACTCTCTGCCATATGCCCCATCATGCTCTAAAGAGCTGACAATTCTTTAGGCATGTGATGGTAAAAGTTGGAGAATAAAATTAAGGTTCTACACCCTCCCCCAATGACTTGCAATTTAAATTGCCTTGTGATGAGTAGTATCCAACTATGGTTATTCAGGAAGAGGGAATTTAGACAAACTGAGAGAAAAGAAAGAGGTCCAGTGACCACTGAGTACAGTCTAGGGTCCTGACAGAGGATTTAATTACAGTTCTGTTCAAGGTACAGACGCACCAGCCATGGGCATATCATTATCTCCTTAAAGGTAACCTAAGGAATTGTCAGAACTATGTGAAATCTCTGTCTTGCAGAAAAAGCTCTCCCTTTGGTCAGCTCCTAAACCCCGGCTTTTTCCCTTCCCATTCTCTTCCTTCCCCAGAATGAGACTCCTGAGAATTGAGTTCTTAGATCCCATTGACTTGTAGTTTGACAGCAAAAGGAAAAGAAAGGCACACGTGTCTCTTTAGTATTAGTCATAAAAGGTTACTTTTATAGAAAATTTCCAACATACATAAGGTTCATATAGAATACATTGGACTGGAGAAATGTTCCATGGCTAAGAACTAACTGCTTTGGCAGAGGACCCCAGTTTAGTTTCTAGCACTTACATAGGGCTGCTTACAACGATCTTAGAGCTCCATCTCCATGAGATCCAGTGCCCTCTTTTGACACCCTTAGGCACTTTCACACAAGTGCATGCACTAACGCAGATAGATACATAGTGTATTGAGTTGTACCAGTTACCCAGCTCTTAGATTTAATGATAGACCCATTTGAAGAAAGTGGTTTTGAGTCTCAAAATCCCTATAGCCTCTTCACTAGTTGTGCAGCAACCTTGTTGCTATTTATTTTCCTTTTTTATGTGTGTATAAATTAAAATACTAAATAAGAATACAAACTTTACACTTTTGTTATCTTTTTAAAGTAGTGTTTATAATCCATTATGTTAGTGACGGAATTAAATTTGTATTTTATGCTCTTTAATCCTCTTCCCTATTTCTTTTCCACATTGTTTTGATTTCAGCTTGAAAGCAGTATATTACTGGTTTTCATGTATTTATAAACAATAGATGTAAGCTAATTACAGGCATCCTTGGCTGTTTTTGTCTATTTCATTTATATACATATTCACTTTTGTGTGTGCTGCTGGGGCTCAAACTAGATCTCACACAAGCTATATTCGGCCTGTTTTAAACCCTAGATGGCAGTGTAGTGAGTCATCATGCAAGTTTTTAAATGTTAAATGAGTGATTGATAAAGTGGTTTTACTTGAGCTCTAACTTGACTGCATTCCTTTCTTTAGCCTCCTTAATCAGATAGTGTTTTGGGGGATGGGGGGGGGAGCCTTGGTGCAGTGGTAGAGCCTTGTCTAGCCTGTGTGAGGTCTTAGTTTGACCCTCAGCACTGGGATGGTTGAAAAGAGCTTTGTGTTGATCAGAGCCCTGCTTTTTATCCACTTATCCTGGATCTGTGAATGCAGGAGTTAAATGTTCCCATCAGTGCTGTTAGGTGGGCTTATTCATTTGTTAATCACCTTCTCTATTCCAAGGATGCCCCTCTTCACTGCCTGCTCCCCAAAATGTGCTTTCTGATTTTCCTGTTTCCCACAGGAAACTTCCTGGAACTTGCTATGTAGACCAGGTGGGCTTCGAACACAACTACACAAATGTCTAGTGTACCATTGTATTAATATTAAGTCACTTACTCTTTGAAAAAGGAAAAGACCTATTTTTAATATCTTGTTTTGTACATTGTCAGTTTTATATGAATGCTTATAAATATGAACCATAATTAGGTGTGATTATAGACTGAAAGTGTGCCCCACTTACAGCATGACTGATAAGATCAGCCAGAATCTGTCAACAAGGCAAGAGGCTTTAATTCTCTGCCCACCCGTGTCCCAGGCCAGCCTGTATCTTTTTTTTTTTTTTAAGTATTAATTCACTTTTATATGTATGAGTGTCTTGCGTGTATGTAAGTAGCTGCATGGGTGCCTGATCCTGACAGAGCCCAGGAAAGGGTGTTAGATCCCTTGGAACTGGAGTTATATGGTTGCTGGAAATGCAACTCTGCTGAGCCATCTCTCCAAACTCATTATATTCTTCTTCTTTTTTTTTTTTTAAAGCAACAGAAGCCATCAATCTTAAAGCAAATATGTAATTCTAGTCAGGGTTTCTCTGTACTAGTTCTGTAGATGAGGCTGGCCTGGAACTCAGAGAGCTGCTTGCCTCTGCCTCCCAAGTACTGAGATCAAACGCATGTGCCACCACTGCTTAGCCTAAATCTGTAATTTGTCTTAGTAATTGTCACTTCAAGTACCAATGCCTAGTACACATTTTATAAGTACATTTTAACTTTTTGCAATCATTCAAGTATTGATTTGGTCAGAATAAATGAAAGTGCTTCCTCAGAAGTAAAGCATACTAATTTGGGAAGTGTATAATATGGTTGAACTATAAGGAACACTAATTGCAAACTGGAGGTCTTGCCTACCTTGGATAGATGATTTTGGGGATGAGAAGGAAAGCTGGCCCATATAAATTTTGTGGTGGATGCCACATGTGTGCACATTATATAAAAGTGATAGTGGAGCTCTATAATGCTTTTAAAAAGCAAATCCTTATAATAACACTCAGCCTTAAAATAAGATCAGTTTGGAACCTTATGAAAAAGTTAATTTGTGGCTGGGCAGTGGTGGTGCACACCTTTAATCCCATCACTCAGGAGGCAGAGGCAGGCCTATCTCTGTGAGTTTGAGGCCACCCTGGGCTACAGAGCTGCTTTACAGAGAAATCCTATCTCTAAAAAACAAACAAACAAAAATATGAGGGGGAAAAAATATCAATGTCTTAGGAGCTGGAGAGATGGCTCAGCATTTAAGAACATTTGCAGCTCTATGACTCCAGTTCTATAGGATCTGACACCCTCACCCAAACATATACCCAGACAAAACACCAATCAGTGCACATAAAATAAATAAATCATTTTTTTAAAAATCAGTGTCTTAAGAGTGTTGTTACCCCACTAAGTCAGGTAATGCAGAAAATACATAGGAGATGAGTTGGTCCAGAATAAATGGAGCACTATAGATAAGCTATGTCAAATTGAAATATTGAACACCATTTTTTTCTCTCTCTCTCTTTCAGATTCATTACTAAACATGGGTGCATTTTTGGATAAACCCAAAACCGAAAAACACAATGCTCATGGTGCTGGGAACGGTTTGCGTTATGGCCTGAGCAGCATGCAAGGATGGAGAGTGGAAATGGAAGATGCACACACAGCTGTTGTGGGTATTCCTCACGGCTTGGAAAACTGGTCATTTTTTGCAGTTTATGATGGTCATGCTGGATCCCGAGTGGCAAATTACTGCTCAACGCATTTATTGGAACACATCACTACTAATGAAGACTTCAGGGCAGCTGGCACAGCAGGCTCTGCTCTTGAGCCCTCAGTGGAAAACGTTAAGACTGGTATCAGGACTGGCTTTTTGAAAATTGATGAATATATGCGTAACTTTTCAGACCTCAGAAATGGGATGGACAGGAGTGGTTCAACGGCAGTGGGTGTTCTGATTTCCCCTACACATATCTACTTTATCAACTGTGGTGACTCACGAGCTGTTCTGTGTAGGGACGGAGAAGTCTGCTTTTCTACCCAGGATCACAAACCTTGTAATCCAATGGAAAAGGAGCGAATCCAAAATGCAGGAGGCAGTGTGATGATACAGCGTGTGAATGGTTCATTAGCAGTGTCTCGTGCTCTGGGGGACTATGACTACAAGTGTGTTGATGGCAAGGGCCCAACAGAACAGCTTGTCTCTCCAGAGCCTGAGGTGTATGAGATTTTAAGAGCAGAAGAGGATGAGTTTGTGGTCCTGGCTTGTGATGGGATCTGGGATGTGATGAGTAATGAGGAGCTCTGTGAATTTGTTAAGTCCAGGCTTGAGGTGTCTCAGGACCTCGAGAATGTATGCAATTGGGTAGTGGACACTTGTTTACATAAGGTATGTAAGCCTTTTTTTGTTTCAACTAACACACCGTAAGTAAACTGAAGCAAACTTAAAGTTTTAGAACTTTTACTCTTTTCTGTAGAGAACTGTGCATTAAATTAAACCTTTTTGTCAACTTTACCCCAACCTTCCAGTTTGAAAAGTGACAATTATCTCAAATTTATTAAGCTTGTTTTATGGCTTTTATAATTCAGAAGTAGCTGTGTAGAATGATGACCTCTGATCTACATCCTTGATGTTGGCATCAAGATTACTCATTTGAAAGAGCTTTAAAAAAGTTGTGTAGAATTCTGTTACTTACATTAAATTATCAGGAGCTACAGAAAATATTGACAGATTACCAAAAGCCAAGCTTGTAAAACAGTGTTCAGCTAAGACAAAAGCTGAAACAAATGGGTTGTCTCTCCTTTTTTTGTCAGTAAGATATCAACTAAGTTTACACTTAACTGTAAACAATATAAGGGTAGTACATTACCCACATAGAAGGCAATTGAAATTCATTTCATATAGACATCATTATCTCTGATTAAAGTCTAAAGCCTTATGGAAAATGTGCTTCTAGGAAAAATTCTTGTGAAATTCTTAAAATGTCTCAGTTGTAATTTGATGCAAAAAAAAAAAATGTAGGTTTACAGATATTTCCCATTAAATAAATGCCTTTGCATTATTCGGTTCTTGGGCCAGGAGAACACAGATACCTATGGAGACAGGGTCATTTCTGTGAGTCTGAGGCCAACCAGGTCTCTTATAGCCTCCCCTTCCCCCCCCCCAAAAAAAATCAGTTCTTCATGTGGATGTTTGAACAGCATCTAAATAGAAATTATTTAAGTTTCAGTTAACTATTGTCTAGATAAGTGAGTTAAGTGTTCTGTGCCTGAAGATGCTGAGGCAAAAGTGGCCTGTTACAGAGTGTGATGTTTGACTGTGTGTCTTTCTGTTTCCTACCATACGTAAACAGTGCAGCATAGTTAGCAAGGCTGAAAGGATGACAGTAGTAGCCAGTGAGATGGTATTGCTCCTTTACTCTTCAGGGGGCCTGCCACCCAGCTCCTAAATAAGTACACACAGAGGCTTATTCTTACTTAGAAATGCCCAGCCTCAGCTTTGCTACTTTGTAGCCAGCTTTTCTAAACTTATCCTGTCTACCTTCTGCCTCTGAGGTTTTACCTTTTATTTCAGTATATTTTTTCCTTCATTCTTATTCCATGTCTGGCTGTGTAGCTGGCCCCTTCTTGTCTGGCTCCTTGATCTTTCCCTAACAACTGAATATTTGTGGAAATAAATCTCTGTTTCCATTTTTTAATCCCATAATTTTGCTGTTTTACTTGTTTTTATTATACAACCAAGGGTTAGATGTATTGTAAAATAGAATATGATTATTTGAAATTTAGAAGGAAAAGTGTGTACATATGTTTAATTCAATGGAAAACAGAAATGTTTAATGGGTGATGTCTGCTTTAAGAGGAAAGCCAAAGAAGGTCCATTTAGTAGCGTTTTCCCCGAGAGATTGACACGAAGTCAATGTTTTCTATGTTTAGTGTGCCTTTTAATAGACACACACTTATGTATGTTAACTCATAAAATCTTGAAAGGTTGTAGTAATCATCCTAGTCAGAATCACAGTATTACACAATTACTACTTTCTGTGAGTCTGTGCTATTCTTAGCTCTTAACAGGTATTTCAGCCCAGTTAATTTTTACAACAGCCATACCATGGTAGTTAGAGTTGTTAATGATAAATCATTTTTCAGGTTGCCATAGCAATGTTAAATTACAGGTGTTAGATAATGATACTGGTCAGGTATTGTCCTACTTTAATTAGTCCCTAAGAAAATAACAGACTTCATCCGGGCAGTGCTACAGCAAGTCGATCTCTGAGTTCGAGGACAGCCTGGTCTACAGAGTGAGTTCCAGGACAGCCAGGACTGCACAAAGAAACCCTGTCTAGAAAAGCAATCATAACAAAACCCAAGACTTACCATTTTATTGCTCTTCATGGTGTTTATTGCCAACTAATTCAGATTTCATAAAGTATATAACTGCTATTTGGTGATATTTTATGACTTATAGGTCATATGTATTTAATCTTTACAGTAATTGGGCAAAGAAAATTAATCTGTTTCTAGTTTGCAAGAAAAGAAATGAAAGCTGACATTAAAAGATAGTTGTTAGTCATGACTAACAACGGAGACCAGAATCTAAAATTTCTGACTTTTGAGTTATTTTAGAACTGATTATCAGAAAGGCTTGATCATGTGTGAATGTATATGTTGGTGCTTTGTGTCTGAAAATTGTTCTCCAGTGTGGTTTGGGGGGGATATTTTCCTTTTCCCCCCATTGTTACAAAATTAGCAAATTGTTTGTAATATACATTAAGGTGTTTGGAAGTTAGGTTACTCAGCTTTACATCTCTTTGTAGTCTCATTGTATTCAATGCTTATCACTACTGATAGCTGCTCTATATTCCTATGTAGTTCTGTTTATTAACATGTACAAGCATAAAAATGGGGTTTTGTTACTGCATTTTGCAGAAATGGATCATGATATGCTTTTTGCTTTTTACCTTATAAAAATCAACATTCCTTGATAATTCTTTAAGATATTTTATTTCCTTGAATTCAGCTATGTACTGAAGCTCATATAAAGCAGAAACTTATTTTAAAATATGGACTAGATCGTGTCATTGGAGAAAATCTGGGATGATATTTTTGGAAGGTAGTTTCATTCTGATTTATTCCTACAACATGGAAAATGTATTTTATTCCCAAAATAATTTTAGTTCCAACTAAGGTTAGCTGTAAACTTACTCCAATGTAATTTACAGAAAATATCTTCATTTAAAAAGGCAAAGGTAAACAGAATATTAGAGTGGGTTGTGGTTAGCAATTTATGTTTAAAAACTTTGTGTCGGTGGGTGTTTGCACATGTGCCCCTGCAGGTGAAGTTTACTGAAAGCTTGTGCTAATTGATTCTTTCCTTCGATCATGTGGTTTTAGTACTTGAACTCAGCTTGTCAGCCTTAGCCCCAGCACTTTATATGCTGAGTTGTCTCACGGCCTGGTTGGCAGTTTTCAGTCGAGAAGAGAAGTGATGGTGAAAGTAGAGTGTGTGAGAATCCGGTGCAGCCTAGTAGGCAGCTGTCAGTGCTTTCTGGGTCATGTATCTGAGTGATTTTTCCTCAGTGCACCTTAGCCCAGTTTGATTGTTCCCAATTTCAAGAATTACATTAATTATATTCAAACTTAGCAAGTCTTACTGGGATATGAAGACTGGTTATTACATATTATGGTATATTCTTACTTCATTCTTTTAAGAATGCATTTACCACTGAGATGGGTTTTTGTTTTTTACTGCACAACTTCTCAAACCTGGAACACTGAACACAGCTGCCTCATCTCCTAAATCAGACTGCTTGTTATTATTGTGAAGACTAGCTTTTATTGTAACAATCTTCCAAACTATCACATATGCTGTATGAAGACATACTTTTGGACTCTCTATAATCATGCAACATTGAGCTTTAGAACCAACTGTGTCAAAATCTCTTCTCCTAAATTTAGATGCCCTTATTTATGGCAGGACAATGCCTGCCTTGATTTAATTTGACACTTATTAGCACTGAAATTCTTCAGTGTATTACAGCTGTCTCCTGGAAAAGTAGAAAGGAAATGGTATCAAAATAAAGTTTTTTACATAGCTAACCTTTCTTGTTGTTCATGGTAGATTTTTATAAAACCAAGTTCCAACCTGGAGCTTAATAAAAACAGTAATGATTATGCAACCATATTATTGTGGTTTGTCTCTTATAAACAGGCAAGACAGATAAGGTCTATTTCAGCTGCTATGAAATACCTGTGCTTTGTGTTTAGTAAGACTCATCCTACAGTAGAAATAGAAACAGCATTGAGATTACACATGACTGGGGGCTAAGTGTAAATTAATTTTTATAAATGATAGGGACTATATTTTAAAATGTACAAAGATATCAAGTGGAGCTTTTATAGATAGCATATCGATTAGGGACTGATTAGTAATGTTCTTGGTGTTACAAATTGGAAATGGTTAGAAGATAGTGTTGCTAAATTCAATCTGCCAATCCCTCTGCCTATAAAATTGTCTTAAAAATATGGTGATGTTTGGTGTTTTCATTACCAATTGTATAGTTTAAAGTTGTAGATTAAAAAAAGTTTTAACTATACTCATGATATACTTCTGTGTAGTTATGTAACCAAATGCGGTGTTTCTAATTAGTAAGTCAGAAAGGTTAGTGGTTTTCTTGAGGAATGAAATCACTTTGGCCAATGTTAGCTTCCTGGTTTTCCAGACACCTTAGCATCTGGTTATCTACTTCCTTTGGGTCTGTAGAGAGATGTGAAGTCTAGAGAAGACCTTTCACCCCCTCAGACTTGCTTCCATTACACTGGAAGGTGGAAGCAGTTATTCCTTAAGGCTGCTTGTATGTTTGGTTATTCCATGTGGATTCTCTAAAGGTGTCAGGTCTGAGCCAGGTAATGCCAGTGTAGATTCTGGCCAGAATGACTGACTAGTCCAGAGGGTATGTAACCTTAACTTCTTTCACTTCACTGGGCAAACCTCATTAGGAAACAGAACTGATTACCTCCTCCTCGATTGAAGAAGGCGAAAAGCTTAAAAGAAAGTTTTTGCTAAGCTTAATAGCTCATTCCTGTTTCCGCAATAGAAGTAAATGCAGGAGAAGCCTGAGTTTCATGGCCAGCTTTGACTATATAACATCGGGACACCATCTCAAAAACAGAGAATTTGACACTGTACTGTCATCAATGGGAAAAAATTCTAACAGCAGTTTCATATGTTGATACTCAGTTATATACCCAAAGAAAGGTAGATTATTATTTTATTGCTCAGCCGTGGCACTTAAAAGAATGTATTTTAATGTAATTTGTAAGGTCATAAATAAAAGGAGTAAACTGAATCCTTATATAAAAACAAACTTTTAACTGCTCTCTAAATACCCTGTAGTTAAAAGGTTCCCATATTGACCCAGGTTCACATGCCTACAATCTCAGCATTTGCTAAACTGAGGCAGGAGGATTACAAATTCAAGGCAAGCCTTGAGACTCTGTGTCTAAAACAGAATAAAAACAGTTTGTTTTTAACTTGTTTAAAACTTCATAATCCAAGCATATCCCATTGTTGGATGTAACTTCAAAATCATTTTAAAAATTAATTTCTTCCTCAAATGCGGAACCCATTAAATTTTTACATTTTCATTCATTTATAGTACATTGTGTATGCATGAGTGCAGTGCATGTGTGGAGGTCAAAAGGACAAATCTTGGGAGTTGATTCCTTCTACTCTGTAGTTTTTTTTGAGTTTCATAATAATCAAATTTTCAGCAAAGTTAAGTAGAGTTGTGTTATGTTCATTGATTAGCATGAAAAATTTCCAGATGTTTAAAAGGATGTTTTAGGCTTAAGCTGCTTTTAGGATTATGTAATTTTGAATGGAAAGCAGTGTAGAAGATATAATAGGTTTGAAGTTGTCTTCATTTCTGAGGCTGTGAGCTAGTGGGTAAAAATAGTTTACACAAGATTAAAATCCAAGAACAACTACATTTATAGTAGTAGACACCTTATGGTTCCTTATGGTTGTATTTTAAATCTTTGAAATAAGATTATCTAAGGTATACATTCTGGGTGTAAATAAGTTTTAATAGACAATTATTGAACATAGAAAAAAATTTGCCTTTTCTTTCTCTAATACACAGGGAAGTCGAGATAACATGAGTATTGTATTAGTTTGCTTTTCAAATGCCCCCAAGGTCTCAGATGAAGCAGTGAAGAAAGATTCAGAGTTGGATAAGTACTTGGAATCACGGGTTGAAGGTAAGGCAGGTTTTGTTTTCTTTTTCTCCAGTTCAGGAATGAAAGGAAAAAAATTCTTCCTTATCAAATGATTCTTTTACAATTTTCTTAGTGGAAGCAATTATATTAAAACAGGGGCTCCAAAAATAAATATCCATCTGCCTAAGATATGCTATCTTATATCATTATGCATGTGAGAGGAACGGGTTTTCCCTTCTTGAACGATGTTTTGGGGTGGAGACCAGCGTACAGTCCTTAAGGCAAGCAGCCAGATGGTAGTGGTGAATTGGACTGAAATGACACTAGCGGAAGGTGTGGAAACTGATTTGTAATGGACCAGACTGTAGTGGTTTTCATTTGGGGAGATTTTTGTCTCCATGTGACATGTGGCAGTGTCATAGATATTGAAGGAAACATTATTGGCATTATTAGAGATCAGGAACACCACATTACTTCTTAGCGCTCAGTATTGTCCCACAACAAAAATTGCCTGGTCCAAATCATAAGCAGTGCCTGCCTGCCTGCCTTCTTCCCTCCCACCCACCCATCCATCCATACTTTTATTGCTAAAAATACTTGAGATAGACAATTTAAAGAATAAAGGATATATTTTAGTTCAGTTTCAAGTTTTGTCTCATGGTCTACTGGCTCCATCGGACCTGAATGAAGCAGGAATGTGCCTCACAGATGCTAAAGCAGTGGGGTAGGGATGCTGGTATACCTAGAGAAATATTTATCCTTCTAAAGTATGCCCTTAAGTGACCTGCTTCCTCCAGCTAGGAAGTGATAGCCCACTCACCTGTGAGCTGATTGGATTCTCACTGTTGAGTGGGCCTTCAGTATAGTCTGTGCCAGTCAACATCACGTAGATGGGAGTGTAAAGCACTATTCTGGGAATGGGTCAGTGAAGGGTTTTGAAAGTAATATTGACGTCTCTGGTTTCAGAGAACTTTTTGATTGAAACTTAGAAGTAAGGGAGTCATGCTGGAGTTAAAGGGGAAGTGGTAGATTCTAAGGCCAGAGCAGAATCTTGTGAGGCATGTTGACAATTGGTATTTTGTATCTGAAGAGGCTGCTTAGGTTTCTTCTGCTAAAAGTAGTACCTACATACAGATACATAATTAAATAAAACAGGCTGGAGAGATGACCCAACAGTTAAGAGCAATGGCTGCTCCTGCAGAGGACCTGGGTTCAGCTTCCAGCACCCACATGGCAGCTCACAACTTCCAGTAGTTCCAATTCCAGGGGATCTGGCACCCTGTTCTGGCCTGTGGGCAGTAGGCATACATGTGCACGGACATGCGGGTGAGACTTAAATATATACAATAAAACTTTTTTTAAAATGAACTTTTTTAAAAAGTGAGTTACTAAGGCTGGGAGTGACTCAGTGCTTATCTTGTATATGGATAGCCTGGTTAGACCACTGTGTGCTGAAAAAGAAATCTTAGACTATGATCCCATCACTGCCAGCAGAGGCAGAAGGATTTATTTGAAGCTCGAGGAGAGATTGGGCTATAGACAAGATTGTCTTAGAGCGGGAGACAGACAGACAGACAGACAGAAGTGGGGTTGAGAGAATAGGGCCGGTAGTTAAATCACTTGCTGGGCAAGCAGCATGAGGATGGAGTTCAGCTGAGGCCAGACAGCTACATTGTTGTGGCAGCCCAGTGATCCCAGCACTCAGGAGCAGCACAGGAAGCTCACCTGCCAGCTAGCTAGCTGGACTGGCAATATCAGCTGGCTCTAGGCTCAATTGAGAGTCCCTGCTCTCACCTCCCCGCCTCCCTACCTTTCCTCCTCCTCCCCTCCCTCCCAAAACTACAATAATCTTCACTTTGTATATATGTATGCCTCAACCCATACACATATGCACATACATTAGGGTTTTTCTTTTCTGTAAGTCATATAAAAATGGAGAATGTAAAGTCTTTATTTTACAAGTACCATGACTCATTTTCTTTAAATTGCTATAGAACATAAGTGTCAATGTTTTAAAAAATTTTGTTCTTAAAATTGTTGTTCAACCTTTTTTTTTTTTTTTTAATTTTCCTGTAATGACTATAGACAGTCTCACTGTAATTGTCTTTAACTCTGACTGGCCTTAAACTTGTTTTTGTAGCCCAGGCCATTCTGATTCTTCCTTCTGACTGCTAGGATTTTAGACATGTACCACAGGGCTCAGCTTACGTGATTGTGTTATATTATTTTTACTTAAAAATTCCCTGCTGGGAAAATTGCTTATTTGGTTAAGTGCCTATCTCAAAGTATAAAGATGAGTTCAAATCCCTAGTAAGCATGTAAAAACCAGGTGTTATACATCCCCAGCAACAGAGTGACAAAGGGCAAAAAGGGCAGATAAGCTACAGGTCCAGTGAGAAACCTTTGCTTAAAAAGTAAGGTAGAAAGTAATAGAGGACACTGGACATGACCTTTACTTGTCATATGTGTACTTGTGCACATGCCATGCACATAATGCTACAGTGTTTGTCCATGAGTTATTACATTCCTGAGAATCATTTTTATTGGGTATAACCATTTCAATCATTGACCTTTTTTTTTTTTTTTCCTTTTGAGACAATTTCTTTGTCAACAGCCCTAGGTGTTCTGGAACTCCACTATGTAGACCAGGCTGACCTTGAACTCACAGAGATCCACCTGTCTCTGCCTCCTGAGTGCTGGGATTAAAGGAGTGTGCCACCACTACCTGGCTGCTGATGTTTTTCTTTACTGTCCTCTTATGATTGACATTTAATTCTAGTTTATATTTTATGAAACTCTATTAGAGTGAAGACATATATGCCAATGGTTTTTCATGTCCTGCTCCTAAATTTGCAGAAATTATGGAGAAGCCTGGGGAGGAAGGAATGCCTGATCTTGCCCATGTCATTCGAGTTTTATCTGCAGAAAATATCCCAAACTTACCTCCTGGGGGAGGGCTCGCCGGCAAGTAAGTAGAGCAGAAGAGCTGATTTTGAATCCATTTTAAATTAGTAATTAAATCATTTTGAATAAACAAATCAGAAGTAGATCATTTATGTAAAGGTAAAGCACTTCATCCAAAAAGATGGGTTGTGTGCAGGGGTGGGGTGTGGGTGTTCTTGCATGTGTCAGCACAGGGTTGGCAGAATGGCTCTCTCCTGACATCACATGAGTTCCAGGTATTGAGGAAGTCAGATCATCCCGCTTGGCAGAGAACACTTCACCCACTCACCAGCCCATGGCTGTTGTATTTTGTTTTGTTTTTAAGAAATATTTTCTTCAAAGATAAATCTTTTGCTTAATAAGAACAATCAGATTTTACAAGATCAAAAAAATTATGACTGGCTGGGCAGTGGTGGTTGTATACCTTTAAGCCCAGTGATCAGGAAGCAGAGGCAGGTAGATGTCTGAGTTCAAGATCAGCCCGGTCTACTGAGAGTTCCAGGACAGCTAGGACTACACAGAAAAAACCACACACACACATACACACACGCGTGTGAAGTGTGCAAACAGTTCTCTGCAAATATTTGGTGTGACAGTACTTTCTGTGGTCAGGGCAATATTATTTGAAATATGAGCTTAAAATTATACATAATGTAAAACATATCTTTCTAGGCGCAATGTTATTGAAGCTGTTTATAGTAGACTGAATCCACACAGGGACAGTGATGGGGTAAGTTGTAGTTTATTTCTTAATGATTTAATGTACTTTTATATTATAAATACTAGATATAAATAATTCACATAGTATTGCCTATGTAATAACTGCTATTTTAAGGAGTCACTTGATGTTTTAGAAAATTGTATTAGAGACATAGAACACTGTTCTATGGATAGGTTTGTTGTCACTTTGTCTTTTCAGATAACTTTTTTGTTTGGGCTCTCTCTATTCTCCCTATCTCTGCCTTTCTTCCTCTTCCTCCCTCATACCTTCATTTTGAGGGAAGAATGTGCTGTCAAATAACTAATGTTTTTCAGTTACTGGCACCAGAGGTTAGTAAGTTACTCTGTCAGTACCCCTGTGTGCCCAGGTGAGATGCGTGAAGATGTTTTGTCTAGTAGTGATGTGTGTGGCTGTGCCAATGAAGAGTGAGCTCTGCTCTCTCACCTCTTACCCTGTTGGCCCCAGGAATGATGGGCTGCAGTTGGCCCCTTTGGGTAGGCAGCTTCTGATGCTCAGAGCAGAAGAGATGTTGTCCCTGTCTTTAGTTGGGCTCAGTTTTAAAGTTAACCAGACAGAAATAGTTTGTGATAGATTTTCAAGTTTGGGGGGGGGGTATCTAAAAATAAATGATGTATATATATTTCAAAGCTTTAAGAAAGCCATACTTGGTAATGAAGTACCTTGAGAAGAAATTGACTTCACCTTCATATCTACAGACTCGCTTCACTTGGTAGATATAGTAGCCAGTAAATAGAATTTGTTGTTGTTTATTGTGTTGCTTTCCTAGGATTCGTTATTGCATAAATATAAACTCTTATTAAAGTCAAAGTATAAGTGGTTTTTGGTGGGGGTGGTGTGGGGGGGTCTCTAACCAGCTAGAACAGAGAACTGCTGTGGTGAGAAATAACAATGGAAATGGTTACAGAGCGGTGTGGCCCTTAACTGTTGAGTGAAGAACCATACTATTTACTAGGAGTCTAAGTATGAGAGACTAAAACCATTATCTATAAACACTCCACCCCCTAAAACCATTACCTGTAAACACTCCACCTCTTGCTGGGGATTAAACTTAGGACCTTATACATGCTAGGCATGTATTCTAACCCTAAGCTATATCCCTGACCCATTGGTGATATTTCTGCCATTTTAACATTTATAGCAATTAATTGTAGATTTTAGAAGTCAAATAGTTGTGAAGCAATTGTACAGATGAAATAATTAGTCTAAACTCATTATTAGTAGGTACTAGATTAGAGAAACTTACTCATTCGCTATAAAAACTGACTTTGTAGACTAGAATCCTATTTTGGGAAGCATTACCATACTCTTTCAGGCATGTGGAACCATATTTTTTTTTATTCTTACAATTTTTATGTTTAAAATTTAAAAATTGAGACAATAATTGTGTGTGTCCAAAAGTTCACCTGGATATCAGCCAGAAATTTCATAATTTAAAGATACTTAGAAAGCTTAAGGGAGGCTTAGAGGGCTCTTACTTTGCTAATGCTGTTCTTTTAGTTCAGTGTTTTAGGGCATGGTCATTCTTAATGAGTGTGGTGTCTTTAGGGACTGTTGATCAGGCAGTTTACAAATACCCAGACAGTTTTTTAAAATGTATCTGTAGTTTTCATCAGTTTCTCAAAGGACCCAGTGTTCCCACCCCCCAACTTTACCATATACCCTAACATCTGAAAGTAAAACTACATTTTAGCATAAGTTGTTCTTAGAGTACCCAGGGCCTCTGATTACACCCTTTCCCTTTTTCTAAAATGTTGATTGTGAGATCTGGGACTTAAGCCTGGTTTATTTTGATTCGAACCCCAACACACACAGGAATTAGTAAAGGAAGCTCAGTACAAGCTTGTTGGGAGAGGGGCGGATGTAGTTCAGACAACCTAGCATAATCTGTGAGCCTCAGGTCCAAGTAACAGATTCTTTCTCAAAGTGATGTCATCTGAGGAAGGACACTAGAAGTTGACCTCTGATCTGCAAACACCTACAATAAAAGATTGCTGGGCTGTAGAGATAGTTAAGCTGTTAAAGGCCAGGCTCATACTCAAAACATCAAGGAGATTGCTTAATTTCATGATAGTCTGGTGGTTTTGTGTGTGTGTGTGTGTGTTGGTGTATGATGTGCATGTTTGTTAATGTGGGTATGTGCAGTTAGATGTGCATATGTGTGTCCATGCTGCAGGTTAGGTAGCTTTCCTCAGTTGCTCTCCACCTTTGTGTTCTGAGACTTTAAAAAGTCTCTCACTGACCCTGAGGCTCATTAATTTGGCTAAACTGGTTGGCCGTTGAACTTCAGGGATTCACTTGTATTGTATCATGCACACACAAGAGTGTGTGAGTGTGTGTGTGTATGAGAGCAAGAGAGAGAGAGAGAATGAATGGGAGTGTAGGCATGTAGAAGTCAGAAGACAACAACTTCAGATGCATAAGCTCTCTTTGTTTCTCCACTATGTATGCCAGGCTAGGCGGCCCTGTAAACTTCCGGCAATTCTCCTGTCTTGGCCTTCTGTCTCTCTGGGTACACTGGTGTTATTATAGGCTTGTGCTTGTGGTTTCTGGGGATTATAACTTAGGATGACGGGTTCTGCACCAAGCACTTTTACCCAGCCCTGAGCCTGCTAGTTAATCTTTTCAGTGTGCTTAGCTCTCATTGCCTATTTGCTCTTTACCTTATTTACTTAAATTCTTATGTTTTGTTTGGTATGAAAAGGATGTTTTATGGGAGGGTTGTGTATAAACACATCATATGTGTGGAATTCTAGAGTAGGCTGTCAGGTGGCCTGCTCTGTCACTCCTCACTTTATTCCTTTAAAACGGTATCTTAATGAGTGTAGCACTAGGTTGGCAAGCAGCAAGCTCCAGTGATCCTCCTGTCTCATAGCAGTAGGGTTGCAGGCCTGCACATGGCCACACCCAACTCTTCTGTGGACACTGGGGTCTGAATTCAGGTTCTCAGGCTTGAGCAGCTAGGGCTCTTACTCACTGAGCCCTCACAGTGCCAAGGATGTGTTTTTGTATAAATTGATTGATTGATTGTTAAACTATGTCGGTCTAGATGACACAGCCATTAAGGGAAATTAATTCTTGTCTCACTGTGTCTTAATTTTTTTTGCATAGAATATAAACTTTTTATAAAGATTTATTTACTGTGTAAGTGTTTTATCTGTGTGTATACTAAGTGCACCATGTAGATGACGTGTCTTAAGACATAACAGGGAGTTAGAGCTTCTGAAACGAGCTTCAGATGGTTGTGAGCTTAACCCCAGCCCTCTGAGGGAGCAGCAGTCACTTTTAACTGCTGAACCATCCCTTCAGATTCCTGTAAACAATACTTTTGAACATGTATTTTTAAAAAAAAAAAAATTAAATCATGGGTATTTTACCTTCATGTATGGCTTTTCATGCCTGGTACCTAAGAAAGCCAAAGAAGACATTGGCCACCATGTGGATGCCAGGACTCTAACCCGGGTCCTTTAACTGATGAACTATCTATCTCTTTGGCCTCTTTTTATGTTTGTTATTTTGTTTTTTAAGACAGGGTTTCTCTGTATTGTTTTGGAGCCTGTCCTGGAACTAGCTCTGTAGACCAGGCTGGACTCGAACTCACAGAGATCCGCCTGCCTCTAACTTCCATGTGCTGGGATTAAAGGCATGCACCCAGCTCTCTTTGGCCTCTTAAAATCCATTCTGAGTGTCTAGACACACATGCAAAACTGTTAATTCACGATAATGCACTCACTGGAGCCCTCAGATGGATGTTGTACTTGTCACAGATGTGAACTCTGTCCCTCGTTAATGCAAAGGCCACCCCTCTTCAGTTATAGGGACAGTTACAATATTATTTCAGAGAGTGCCAGTGAAGGTGAAATGACCTTGTGAAGTTCTTAGCACAGATGTTGGTTTTCCCTCCTGAGTGGTGTGAAGGATATAGAAAAGAGCATGAAAAAAAATGTGCATTCTAATTTGGAGAACTTGGGAAGTCTGCAGGGTGAAGTACATTATAGGTGTACTGTATGAATTTTTCAAAGTTCAAGTAAAGAAAGCACAGCCTAGGTAATAGCTTCTTGTGATAGGAGCAAAAGCCCTGAAAGACATGATAGTATTTAGAGAGCTGTCATTGCTGGAGCTGTGATTAAAGGCTTGCACATCCACCATTCAGCCAGTCCCTTACTTCTTTCTTTCTTTCTTTCTTTCTTTCTTTCTTTCTTTCTTTCTTTCTTATTTAATTAATTAATTACGTATTTGTTTGTTTGGGATAATAAATTTTTTAAAAGATGGTTGGTGTAGGCCTTTTATTCCAACTTTTGGGAGGCAGAGGCAGGTGGACCTCTGGTTTCAAGGCACCCAGGGCTACAGAGAGAAATCTTGTCTCAGAAAACAAAAAAGAAAAAAGAAAGATAACTAGTCTTACAAAGCTGCCAATACTGTGGCGCAGACAGTATAAAGGACACACTGGAACCTATTGCATTGGACTCACAGGTAACAACAGCCTTACTCCAGTCCAACTTGAAGTAGGTTGGGTGAGCTGTGACTGTATGCTGAGTCTCAGTTATCCTCAAGTACAGCTTTGGTGTCTATAATTTAAAAGCTTTGTGAGTGAGTGGACAGTTAAGCCAGGGGAGCTATTCTGCATGTTCATCAGTTGCCCATTCAAAACAGGTACTGATGTTCTACAGTTCATTTTAAAAAAATAATAGGGGCTGGGGGGCAGGCTTTCAGGAGGTCTGGGATGCACCATTACATTTCTTTTTTTAAAAGATGTGATTAAAGACAGTGATTGGAAATGCAATTACCTCGTTCAGTCATAGCTCTTCCTGAACACAGTCAGATAGGGACCCTGAAGAGAATACAGTTTTTACTAGTTAGTACAAGGGGAAAGGTAATGGGAAAAGGATAATAAAATCTGAACAGAGAACTCATTTTGTAAAAATAGTTAATTTGACAGTTAAAAATATGCTCATAGAAAGTGGGAAAATTGAAAGCAAGCACAACCCACTACCCATTACCCTGTATCACTGTTTCATGTTTCTTATCTTTCCAAGCACTTTAGGCACATCTTAGTTACTTGTATTTCGTGTGAATGGGTGCCTGCAGATAAAGTCTGCATCATTTATGTTTCTGGTGCCCAAGGAGTCAAGGAAGGTTTCAGCTCTCCTAGGACTGGAGTTGTGAGCAGGCACGTGGGTTCCGGGAGTTGACCTGTGTCCTCTGCATGAGCAGCTAGTGTTCTTAACCACTGAACTCACCATCACTCCCACCTCTCTTCTCTTTCCCAGAACTTTAAATACATAAAAATAAGCACATCTTTGCTTTTTTGCCATAAGGACTTTTTTTTTTTTTTTTTTTTTACGCTCAGGTCCTTTCACTTTTCTCATGAACACTATCATTTTTATTATAGAGGTTTTATTAATGTTACATCTCCGAAGATAGTTAAGACTACATCTTAGAGCCTCTATCAATAACCTATTTTTTTTTAAATGTTCCTAGCATTTGGTGTTGAAAACTTCCAAATATGTTAAAAATTAAAATGACAGTGATTATTGTAGATTCCAGTTGTTCACATTTCACTCTAGTTGCTTTGTATATCTTAATGTCTACGCATATATAGCAAATCTTTTGTGCTAATCCTTTATGAAAATACTGTGTTCTAAGGTAGAAATTATTTTCAAAATTTTTTACATCTCTAAAAGAATACAGTTTACATATTTATAGTTTGACATTTGTCTTTTCTCCTACTCACCATTTAGCAGAAATAAAGAGACTAACATTCTGATGGCTGCTCCTCTGTCCTTTTTCTTTCTTAGAATTAAATCATTTTAACCAACAACTTTTTTTAAAAGTTATTTTAGGAAATATTTGTGTAAGAGTTTTAAAAGCAAAGTATTTCAGATTAAACTGATGAAAATGGTAATTGGAATAAGACATAAACTAGTTCATGATAATTGGCTAAGAATAACTTGATGTTACAATTTTTATTAATCTGCACAGGTAAGAACTGATGGTTAATGAAAATGTTTGCTTAACTATGTTGCTTATGGTAAAAGAGATAGAGCTTTGTGTGATGTGTTATGAAATACATGTGATATCCTAGTTTGTCTACTGACACTGGGGTCTTACATCTTAACAAAAGGCCTCCGATGAAGCAGAGGAAAGTGGATCACAGGGGAAATTGGTGGAAGCTCTCAGGCAAATGAGAATTAATCATAGGGGAAACTACCGACAACTTCTGGAGGAGATGCTGACTAGTTACAGGCTAGCTAAAGTAGAGGGAGAAGAAAGCCCTGCTGACCCAGCTGCTGCAGCTGCTTCTTCGAACAATGATGCTGGAAACCCAGTGGCAATGCAGGAAAGACACACTGAATCAGAAAGTGGTCTTGCCGAATTAGACAGCCGAAATGAAGATGCAGGGACAAAGATGAGTGATGAAAAAATATGACCTTTTTTGGGAAATATTTTTGTGATCTTGATTTGACAGTTTTTTACTTAGGAAGTATAATGTGTGCATTTATATAACCATTTTGTTATTTGAATCTTGGAAAACTAGTTTTCTTATATTCCTATAGCCTTCTTTTTTTAAAGGCCTTTGCATACACCTTGATGATAGTTTAAAATTGACTATTTATAGTATTTTGAATTTAATGAAGTTATATGTCATTTTACATTGTATACCAGAAATTAGGTTGCTGTTTAATTAAAGTCAGTAGTTAATTCTTAATAGCTCGGATTAGAGATTGCTGATTGGAAAGACAACTATACATTGTGAAAAAACTTGTTAATGTAGAATTACTCTGCTTATTTTATAAACTCATACATGCATAGCTAGATTTGTAATACTTTTGTTTACTTATCATATTAGTTCTTCAGAATGGCTGGTACTGGCCTATAATTTTTCTTTCAGAGTTGATAATGTGTGTTATTTGATCTGTTTATATTTTACATCTCTGTAGTTTTATTTTTAGAAGTTGTGGAGATACTGGATGTGTGGTTATGTTTCCTTTCTCTGTATTCTTTATGAAACATTTTTAAAAGAACTATGTATTACTCATATAGCTTTCATTTGTATATTCTGTATAGCTTACTATACATATAAAAATGTATGTCAACCAAGTGTTTAGAATGAAATTATCAGTGTTTAAGTTCAAATAAAGCATGTGATATGGAATAATCTATGCATGTTGTACTTTTTTTAGTTTTTATTTATTTAATAATCAGGTTTGGGATACTGGAAAACTCCCTAATATTCATTTATAACTATTAAATTCAGCACACTTTGGCTTAGCTGTTTTTTATCAACAAAAGAAAAAAAATTAATTAAAAAATACGTCTTGCCTACTCGAAAGTAACTCAGTTCTGCTGCCTTTCTCTGTGGTATGGAACACCCACCTTCAGATAGTTTGGCACATGTAGCTGTTTAAGAAAGTTGTCCCGTGAGCATTTCAAAGGTTGCAACATTTTCCAGTTTTGGTATGAGTATTCATCAGGCATTCATTAACAAATATAAGAATCCTAAGCTATTTTAAAAACAGATGTGAGTTTTGCCTTGGTTAAAATAGATATTTTAAATGAAGGGTGCTTTAAGTCATCAAAATATTTTGAACAATTTTTTAGCTATATATTAACTTATGTTTATATTTATAATTTTGTGTTTAACGTTGCTTAAAGTACCATAATTTACAAGTTTGTGTTCTTCAGATGTTGGAGCTGATGCTTTGGTACATTTTCTTTCCAAGTCAGAATATTTTTTTGAGTGTTTTTGAGAAAGGAAGGCCATTAGGTGGAGAGGGAGGGAGAAATCCCAACTGTCATGTATGTTAGATAGATACACATGTATGCATATATCATACATTACACGCACCTCTCTGTTAAGGTGACCTTTTCAATCAAAGAAGGAAGGTAATTTGTTCACCTGATTTGTTTTCTTTTGAAAGTCAGTCGACGCTGAGTGGTGCAGGTACATAATAACAATATTCTTCCTTTTCTCTTCTTGTAGGGCGCTGGAGATCTAGAAGACTCATGATAGCCTTATAACCCTTCTAAAATGCTTTTGAAACTTTTAATCACATTTTCTTCAATACAAGGGGAAATATACTTGTGGATTCCCACTGTTTTGGATATGAGCAGAAAACCATTAGCATTTACCATCCTTTGTTCACATTTGTATTTCCCAATTATCGCCACTCATAGCATTGCCTCTACTCTACAGTGTTTGGGTTCTTTTGTTTATTTTGTTTTCCTTTTTTGTTTGTTTGTTTTTATTTTTGTTTTAACCAACCTCAGGCATCTTGTTACAACTGTATTGAATTTTTGGCCCTAGGAAAAAATGGAATTATTTTACCACAAACCAACAAATGTGCCTGAGGTCCATGGGAATATAGTTAGCCATACTCTGAAGATACATTATGGGTTTTTTTGTTTGTTTTTCTTTTTAAACAAAACAAAATACAACATATAAGCATGTAAGAATAAAGAATTGTAAGAAAAGTTCCAGTTTTTCAGTTCACTAAGTTGGAAGCCTTTTGTAGTTCTGTGGCTTGGAATTTCATTTGAGCAATTACTATAGGATATGTATTTATTATTAATTGTTATTTAAACTTTTTCCAATTTCCTTGTACTACCAAACTGGGTTCTCCAATAACGTTCACTTTGTAACATTGTCTTGCTTCAAGATGGTGTTTGGCAATAATATAAACCCTTACAAATTTTACGCATGTGTCTACTACATCCTTCATCTCTTACTAGGAAATTTTTTGAAACCAAATGAATTAATTTATGGCTATTTATAATTTGCTTTGTCATCTTACTGCTTTGAATTCTTTTAATTGATAATATTTGCCTTTATAATGTAAATTGTGATTTTATTTTTGTTTTATGTATGTGTCTCTATAGTTTTAATTTTTAAGATACAAGTTTTATGTAATGTGGTATAATTTTTAACTGTTTATGTTATTTTAAAAGCTCAGAATATCACATTGAAATACTATAAATACAATTAAAAGTATCTATTTTAGATCTAAGGAAATGTACAGAGATATTTTCATGGGTTCAGTATAAGCGTTCATTTTATAACACTGGGCACGGTACGGGGTGGCTGTCACATAAGGTACTTAAATTTTTACAATAATTTTGAATTCTAGGGATTTTTATCCCCTTCGTTTTGCTGAACATGAAGAGTAAAATACCAAAAAAAAAAAAAAAAAAGTTAGTGGACTTTGCAAAAGTAATGAATGTATCCATTTGTACATGGTTTACATGTTGTAGATGCTTTGCAAGCATTTTCCTCTCTGTTTTAATTGTGTTTCAGCAGGTTGTAGTTGCCTTTATGTGTAGTTAAAATGAGCCATCATCCGGTCCTGTGTGAGATGGAATTCATGGTATTTCTGTATCATTTTCCTGAAGCTGTTTCTAGGAGCCACACATTTGAATACAGATGGCTTTCCTGATCACTTGGTTTCTTGTGCACCTGAGTTTTGCTCTGAAAGGAATTACTGCCATGATATATTTTATTTATTCTTTAGATTTTAGCCTTGTAAGTTAAAGTGCTTTACTTGATGGTATTAAAAGCTACTTGTCCCTTTACTGGTTTTTTTGGGGGATTGTTAAAAGATGGGGAATGAAGAATGCAAAATGGTTTATTGTTTAACCTGTCCACTCTGATCTGACCCTGTACTGATAGTACCTTTCCAGTATGGTATTGTGATGTTTCATAAGTGAACATAACCAACTTGTTACCTAAATAAAGAATCAATTTTAAAACAATGTGACATATTACTCTTTGGTGTGATTTTCAAAAAATAAAAATGCAACTTTGGTTTTGTTTTTAACTATGTATCATGTGCATACTTGTGAAAACACTGATATGAACATTAATGAGCACTAACTCTATAAACAGGCACCAGCCAGGCCAGGTAGGGCAGTACTAGGTAATTTCTCTGTTCCAAACTGCCTGTTAATGCTTCTTGAGCAAAACAACTCTTAGGTTAGTGGTCCTCATGGTGGAAATACTGTGTGTTTATAACCCCATGAGAGGAATCACGTTGAGTGTTTTTGCTCTTGTGAACTTTGTAGTGCAGTTATTTGTAAAATTTGACCTCAGGACCCATTTGTAATCTTAAATTATAAATGTCACAGAGAATTTTTTGCTTTGTGGATTCTGTTGGTGTTTAGTGTATTGGAATTTAAGGCAGACTTTTATGTAACTATAAAACTCCATGTTAGTAGAACTAACATTGGTTTATGAAAGGTAGTTTTCCAAATACAAACAGAGAAAGTGACATAATATGTGGTACTAGTTTTTACTTTTCAACGTTGGGCTGGGTTCTTCCCCTTAGCTTTCTAATACATGTTTTCTTGTTTGTACAGTCTCACATTGTAGTGTTTGTTGAAATCTGCCCATACAAAGATACTAGCTAGGAATGAGAATGTAGAGTCTGAAGCCTGCCTTTGAGAAGACTGTACTATTAATGTGAAGTCCTCTGGGTCTGTCTTGCATTTTGGTCTGATTTCTACCAACCAGTGCATGATAGCCATTAGGGGAATACTAGTTCACTGAATTGCAACATTATTTTCAGTGCTGACATGTATGTTATGCAATAGTTAAATTTTATTTGCTAATATAATTTTTTAAATCCTTTTAAGTATTGAGAAGCTATCAAGCTCATGGTGTTAGAAAAAGATTTTTCAGAATTTTAATTTCCTTTTGAAAGGTGAAATTTTATCATTGGCAACAAATACTGTCAGTTGTTTTCCTAGAGTGACACTCTTGATTCATTTATTGTGGAGGAAATGTCTCCTGAATAATCATAGCCTGCCAGTCATTCTTTGACATTAGCAATGTTTTTTTTTTTTTTTCATGTAAAGTGGCTAGTGCCGTTCCATGCACAGCTCTAATAATAGTCCCTTAGAACCAGTTCTAGCCATTTCATCACACAAGATTTTTTTTTTTTTTTTGTAATGTACACTGAAGCATAGGAATTACTTTTGTTTGGAAGTGTTCTTAAGATTATTTATATATAGGATGGGCCTCAAATTTAGGATCCCCTAAATTTGCTGGAGGCAGCTAAAGAGTGTTCAGCAAAAATTACATTGTATTTTTCTATAAGTAAGGCATCCCTAGGTGTTCAGAAAATCCATTGTAGTTAAGGCATAGTCAGATGTAGTGATAATTAGCACTAGAATTTAAGTGATTTTTCTGTGTTTTCTCCCCATTGAACTTTGGGAGTATTTCTCTGAGCCCCAAAGAAAAGACTAGCTAAGTGTTTTGTTTATTTGCTTTGTTCTTCTGGAAGTTGAACTTGGGGTCTTCAGTGTAACAGGAAAGAGCTGCTCCTGCAACCTAGAGGCATCTGTTTTTTTCTTTTGTGTATGATTTGTGTCAATGTGATCTAGAAGTAAAGCTAAGCCCTCCCTAATGTGTTATCGGAAAAATGTTCCATGGGTACCTGTTGTCAACTCCAGAGTAGTGGTGCTTTTTCCTGTTTGGGTCTTACTACATAGCCCTAGCTGGCCTCAAACTCAGGTACTCTTCCTGTCTCTTCAAATGTGGATTAGAGGTAGATACAGACTTACAAACTTTGAGAAGATGGAAATTAGGAAGTGGGTTGTTCTAAGTTTTGGCAGATGAAACTAATTGTTTACTCTTAGAAGAAAAGCCACTTGGAAGAAGCACTTGCCTGAATTGTGAGTGGCGATGGCCACCCCTGCTTTTCCTGACTGCCTGGTATTGTGAGACCTACTTGTACATAGAAGGTGGGAGAAGAAAAGTTGGGCTCTTGGAAGAGATCATCACTGCTGTCACTGTTTGGCTTGGCAGTGTACAGTGTCCAGGAATCAGAGGCAAAATGGGTGACAAGTTTGAGGCCAGCTTGAGCTACATAGTTAAGACCCTTTCCCCACAGATCCACCCAACGTGTTTTGTTTTGGGTGTATTATGGAGAGGAAATTGTTTCCTAGCCTCAGGTTTAAACTTAACCTGTTGCATTTCTTCTATATCCCCCACTTCAAGAAAGAGAATGGTTAAGTAGTAGTAAAAATGGGCATAGAATTCAGTTTTATGACTATCACTCAGGTATTGGTTATTATAAACATCTGGTCCTGCACATGCCTTTAGCCTGTGCTAATACTGCTCTAGACTGGTGCTTCTAGAATAGGTGACTGGGTCATTGAGCATTCCCATCTCTGAAGCATTATACTAAGGATGCAAAAACAGGTACCACAGATCCAGAATGTCTCCATTTCACCCCATCCTCATCAATTCTCCATTGTCTACCTTGAGTTTTGTCAGTGAGGCAAGCAATTCCCCAGTAGTACCTCATGTTTCTCATTACATGTGAAAATACATATTGGCCTTTGGGAGTCCTCTGAATTTGGTTCTCACATACTTGGAACCATTGTTCCTTTGAGTCACCCTCTCTCCCATTTGTCTTTTCTTTAACATGGTTTCTGGTCTTTGTTCTGTGAGCTCGTGCTCTCCCCTTTGTCTTTTGTCTCCTGTTACTTTGCAAATAGGGTCTCTTATTATTTAACATTTTACCTTGTGGTTTCTATTAAATCATCCCATACATAATTGCTAATGTTTTCAATTGGTTGGATTTTTGTTGTTGAAACATTTGCTTTGTGGGTATAGAACTCCATTTTGTAGTTCTGGCCGCCCTCAAGCTCACAATTTTGTCAAGCCTCCCAAGTGCTGGGGGTGTACATGTTGAGCTGCTGCCCAGCTCTTTAGTTCTTCTGTTTTGGTTTTCCTTGTGCATAGTTTTAACATCCAAGCTTTTAGAGATATAACCCATGATGACAATGGGAAGGTTATCCCAGCAGTGCTCATGTAAGCTTGTTTCAAACTCTGAAGTAAGCATCCACCACTGCCTAGATCTTTCCAGGTTTCCCCCACTCACTGTGCTAATTGGTCTTGGATGCCACCCTAATCCCAACTGGTACATGCCAGTTCCTTGAAGTGACTGTCTCTAGATTTTATCCTAATTTAAGGCAGATATTACTAAGGAAGAATAATACCATTAGAGGAATATATTAAAAGCCTAACTTGACTACAAACTGCTTTATTCTGTCTATAATATCTAAATTTTGAGGCTTCCTCTATCTGTAGTTTCTTAACAGTCATTGGCTTAGTGGCGCCATGCCCTCTTGGGCGGGCTTGTTACTAGTTTAGTTCATGGCTGAGTGCTATGTACTGTCAGACTATCTTTGCTACATTCAAATGCTGTCTGAGATTATTTCTAGAGGACCACCCCTATTCAGCATAGAAGTGAAAGTTTTAGATGCTACTTACAGTAATATGTAATGAATTTTAGTAAAGCCTTGTTCCAGAGTTGGATTGTCATGTTTCTTTATGATCCACAAGTATGCATGCAGTCTTGGTGTTGACAAGTGGTGTGGAGAGCCTGTGGGTGTGTCATGTGGACGAAGTACAAAAGCAGAGCAGACTGTTCTAGTAGAAGACTGGGACTTCCTGTGCATCTTCAACCCGGGCTCAGCCCCCAGCTAGGAGGATGATTACTCTCTGAGAGGCATTGGGGAAAGTGGGGTTTTAATTTTTCCCTTAAAGGAAAAGACATCAACACGTTGGCACTTGTGAAATTTGTGTATCATTTATAAAGTGAGTGAATGTTGCTTTCTCTCCCCCCCCCCCAATTCAAACTCGTTTCCCTTTTATTAAAGTCATAGTTGCTGTTACATCCAGTTGAAATGTTGCCAGGTGTCTGTGTTAGTCCAGTACTAATAAGTCCTTGGGAAGCTCATCCATAGGACTTGTATTTTGTTGCTAAGTTCCTATGGGGTAGAGATTGCCCATTCATCTAGAGTTGATCTGGTTTTCTGACCATGTGCTGGGATTTTTTTTTTAAATAAGCTTTTAAATAAAAACAACATAGAAACAAAATTAGTTAAATGGTTTTGAATTGCCTTCCAACAATGGTGTCAACTATATACCTGTAGTATACAAGAATGTCCTCCCCCCACACTTTTTCATTATGCACATTTCTTTTATATTTATTTTATATAGCATATGAACATTTAGTCTCACGTTTATGTCTTTTATTAAAGTTTGCATATTCGTTCTGTTAGTCATTTCTCTTTACGGTTAGCGAACTATTAGTCTTACATATTCATGAATTATTTCCTCCGTCTCATTGTAATGTTGTTTATGGTTTGTTGTTTGTCCGTGCATAGAACTTCTAAATCTTAGGTCATGCTGTGATTTTTTTTTTTTTTTTTTTTTTTTTTTTTTTTTTAGTGGGGTAGCTTTCCCTCAAGCAGAGTAAGGGCTTTTGGCTGTGATGGGATATGTACTACAGGGTGCTAAGAGGCTCAGGTCTGAAGACTGCTGTAGAGTTCTTACTGATCAGAGAGAGCATCTTCATCCCTGAAGTAGCATTTTTAACTCAAATTCAGTGATGTTTCTTTTATCTCACTCTAAAGTTTTTGAAGTAGATTACATAAACTGCAAAGATCTTACATGTTAAATTTTATGAACTTTACAGAGTCATGTACATTCAAAAGTTTTAGAATATTATCATTTTCTTCAACAGTTTTACCATCCTTCAATTTCATACACTGACAATGTTTTCATGTTATGAGTAAGTAAATGCAATTTTTCCTTTATGACTTTGTTCTTTTTAGTAAATACAGGTACAAACATTTAATACAACTGGAACTTAAGGATCAAAATCCAAAACAGCATCTTCCTGTAACTCTCCCATTACCCCCATGGTTCCAGATGTTGTGGAAGCCAGCCTTTCCCCATT